CCGATCCAACTGCGTCACCAACTCGTTCAGGACTTACTGCGCTTTTCGCTCGCGCTTTCAGATACTTTCAGGTCGTGGCAGTGGGAGCGCGAGCGTGATCGCGGGTAGGTGTGACAGGGGTATTAACAACGCGTGCCCCATCAGGTAATCGACTTTCCAGCAACGGCCATCCGCCGTTCCCTCGTAACAATAAATACGTAAGTCACCATCGTTTCGCTACTGTACCGACCGCTGTGCTGATGCGACACGCATGTAGCTGCTATTCCGTCAACATTTTCAAATGCCGTACGACGATAGTTTATGCCTATTTGCAACTACTATTCACGTATGAATGTATACGGAAGTTTATCCGAACTGCTACTTTCGGGTACAGAAAACGAGCTCAGCAAGCTATCGGGCTAGTGCGAGACACAGCAGATAGAGTTTCCGCTCACAGATCAATACTTTTACCAGCACAGCAACAAACCACGAATTTGTTGCGAGAAACCTATGTAGGGCTGCGTAGAGGCTGTTGGGCAGGTGGGGCATAAGGCACCGCTCAAACTGCAGTTTGGCGTCCGAGGCACACGTCACGCCCGTGTACTACTAGTCGATATACGTATATTGGTGTTGACAATCGAGTAGAGGCGCGCCGTGCCATAGGTGCAGCCTGAACTAAGCATGTCGACAGAAATTAATTAATAAATCGCACACTGTTACTGCGCTTACAAAACATACACTTTATATCATGTTAAAGTAACTACAGATTTCGTGCTCTATGCTCCCCGATAACTTTGGCCAGCTCTATGATGCTGAATTTCTACAGAGTAGTCGGATCCCGTTTTATAGCACGAAAATGGCCGACGTGACCATGGCTCGCCACTCCGATACTGCATGCCGATATCCGCGCGAAGGCCGGAAACCCGCGTAGCGGTGACCAATGACTTATTCGCTGCCCTCTATTTAGAAAAATGTTCCCGAGCCCTTCTGGGTATAACGGATAGAAGGCGTATAATCGGTCAATTGAAGGAGTGCTGGGCGCTTGCAAAGCCTTTCGACTGATGCACGTAGGGCGAGAAGTAATCCAAATGCTCGTAATTGCTACTTTGGTGGTCGGCGCTTTAAGGTTTTCTCCTAGAAAAGCGAGTTTGCGCATTTCTCCATTTCACGCCCGTGAACTTATTCTCCGCTACAGTATGCGTTCTCATAGATGCGCGTCGACGAGGCCTCTGTCGAGGGATTTTTCCAGAGAATTTTTCCACACAAGAATCGGCGATCTCGCTTACGACTGCCTCCGCGGTGGAGAGTTCGCACGCTGCACTAACTATAACTTTAGTGTAGGGGCGAAAGAAAATACTTGCCGAGTAAGGTCCGTACAGTCTAGCGTGAATCGTGACGTCGGGATTCTAATTATCGTAGGCCATCATTGGTTTCGCCCTCACGTTGATTGGCTAAGGCCCGTGATTGATGTTTGTTTAGACTGCAGACATTTGCACTAGATGTTCTTGCCAAAAAACACCCGCCGCCGGTGGCGTCAGAAAAGGCAGCAGCCGTATGTGAATTGCCAGAGGCAGAATCAGTGCGGGCGTCTGAAGTCTCACAGAATGTTAAGAATTAACGGCGGCAAAACGTTTCTGCAGGTTAAAAACTTGGTCAATATCCGTAGGTGAACACTGAGGAGTAGGCTCTAGCCCTATAGATATAGAAACGCATTAAGAATTTTGTACTAAGTAAAATACATTTACAGACTGTGTGATGAAGTATTTTGTTTTGAAATCGTATGAAATACAGCGACGTGGTCTTTAAGTTGAGCATTATATGTATATTTGACGCTGCCCAAGTGCCTGTGCGCTTCAGTCTATGGAAATACGAAGCGTACGTACAAGCCTTTTTGAAGTATATTAATCGCCAGCCGTGCTTGCTTATAGGAAAACTTCGTCTAACCCTGCGGTGAGGGGGGCCCTGATGCTCTGGTGGGCAAAAACTTCGCAGAAAACTTCCGAACTCGCGTGCTTCGCAGTTACTTGACGGTCCCAACGCCCTATATATACCGCATAGTATAGGCATGATCCGACTGTCCTAGGGCTATCACAAGCCTTAGGATATACTAAACATACTAGGCTACCTCTATGTGGATTGATTAGTGAAATTATTACGGTCGCAGTGTTTGTAATATATAAGGTGAGCATTTCTATGTACATAATAGAGGCAGTAGGCCCAAGGATAGAGACATGGGGGCCCGCCAATAA